AATACACTACACACACACACACACACACATATATATATATATATATATATATATATATATATTTAATAATCTCTTCAGCCAATTTGACATCTGTATATAACTGTCTTAAGTCATATCAGTGGTCAATCAAGCAATGAAACATGCTTAGGGAAAACACTTATCAATGAGATGAAAAGTTGTTGACCAGTTTCAAAACAAGATAACCAGGAGCATCCAGTATTCAGTCCTCTGTACAAAAGTTTAGATTCCAAGGTAAGGTTGGTGCATTCCAATTGGCCAAACATTCAACTGAGTGAATGGATTAAATTGGGTCTTAAAGCACAGTTACATGGAATTTGACATAAGGTATTGGATAAAGTTACACACCAACAGGCTTCACCAGTTCTCACACACTATATTGTCCCTAGAACATGTACCCTGAGGACTCCCAATCCATAGGCTTCCATGAGTCTCCATTCAACCAGCAACCTTTGACCATACTGCCTTCTGTTGTCCTTGAAAGCAACTCGAAAACACTCTGTACTCTCCAATCCAGCCTCATTTCTTCTTCCTACTGACTACTCTGAATGCAAAGTGATTTTCCTGTTAAGATTAAAAATACTTTCATTCATCAGAAAATTTTCAGACTTCATTTGTAAAACCTCCTAAATAAATATCAAACTTTTTTTTTCATTTGAACTTTATATTTTAACTGTTATTTTTCTCCACTCTAACTCTATATAGACTTTTGATTTGACCAACCTTGTTACTATCATAAAAAAATATGAAATAAATCGAAATTACCCCCTTTTTTTCTGGTTGTCACAGACAATGCCTAATTTCAGCAGGAAGGAATGGGTAAGACAACACCAACCATTATCTTTGAATGTTTGCTTTTGCCAGTGCTTTCATTGCTTTCCTAAGGGTCTTTCTTCCATTTACAAGTTTTGTACTAGTTCATTTATTAACTATGATTTGATACTAAGTTTATATGTGTACATTGATAATAAAGTAGGTTAATTGAATTTTGAATTTAACTGTGTAAAAGGTTATGCCTTTAACCTACCTGTAGCAAGAGAATTAATGAAATTAATAGGTAAACTACATTTTAAACGAATACTTTTCAAGTCAGTTATCAGTGTTTAGATCATATCCATTAATTCTTAAAGTTGAGGACTTTTGACTCCATGCCTTTGATATGGTCTCACATGCATATATGAACGTTACATAAAGTCATTTGTGTTTTATAACATAAAGAACAATAAAAAACAACAAAAAAATATATATTTATGTTCCTATATTGCTATATATATGTTTACCACCATTACCCATTGTCAAGTACTTCTGTACAGATTGCTTCTGGCTCCTGAATGAATTACTTCAGTAACGTTCAGGTTACCCTCCAAAGCTATGTGCTAAAGTGACATTAGTTATCTAGGGGTCATAAAACTATCCTCTTTAAATTTTATGCTTCACTAAAGAAATAATCACTGGAAAAATTCACACAAATAAAGTCTATTTCAGGATTAAAGTATATTCTACACTATTAAACGCCCATAAACACACAGAGGAAACACAACTCCCTTGTAGCTTGTAGATCTAGTTTACCTTCTCAGGTCACTAGATGACAATCTAGCAAGGACAGGTTGGCATACACCAGAGTTTTAGCCACTCAGTTAGACTATAGGAGAGATTTTCTTGAGACTTTGAGTCAGACTCAATGGCTCGACAAGCAAGAGTCACAATGCCCTTTCTGTTATTGATCTTCCAATCATAGGATGGTTTAGCTTAAGATGATCAAGTAATAATCACAAAAAGCATTCCATACATTCTACTGTATAACACTACCAAGTAGCTCAGAAAACAAGTGTTGCAAAGCCTCTCAACTGAATTTTTGAACTTTTAACTACCATCTTTGTTGTACAATCTATTCATGTAATAGGTATTGTATCTATTTGCTTCAGTTGCCTTAGCTTAGTAACCGTATGGTATAGTCCAAACATATTTATTCATGTTACCATTTGGGAGTCTTTCAATCACATGACTGCCCTAGTTGTGAACAGTAGAGTGATAAATGTTATATCTTAATATCACTTAATAGCTTGGAAAGTAAGGGTCATAAAGCTTTGTCAATCATTGGTACCTCAACCAAACAACTCACCTCATTGACGATAATCAAATGGTAAACATGAAATGTAGTTTATACATTTCGTTGGAAATACAGTTTGGTATCTCAGGACGAATTAGTCACAAAGCCATTTCAGTTAATGGCTTCTTGGCCAAATAACATTTCTAAATATTTTTGATCAGGCAACTAATTATATCTAGATGAGTAATTGGTCCCTGGTTTAGAATAGCAGAACAACAAGCTGTACATGAAAGCTCACTGTACAGCTTTGTAAGACCCCAGGCTCCCCATGGATTATAGTTTTTACATTTAGGTGCCTGCTCTCACCTGCAAGGGAAACAGCTCTGACTGGTGGAAGTTGTCCACCTGTGGCATGTCCAGTCCTTTTCAGCTCGATGTCAATAGTCTTTACCAAAGCTGAAGATGCAGTGCTCTGACTGATGACAACCTGGGATTCTTGTAGAAACCTTTGCAAGTAGTTTCAGTTTTGACAGGTGCCAAAACATGTTGACAACTCTTAGTTGTTCGTACTTCTCTTGGTCCAAAATTGATCCGTGTGGGCAAAGTTCGATCTGCTAATCTGGGTGCTTCAGATATCAGCAAATCTTTTTAAGTCTGTTATTGTTAGCTGAGCAATATCATGATCCTGTGCAGCATTGGTGAAAAACCTATGTCTAAGAAAAGTTTTACATTCAACACCTCTATTCTGCAAATATCTCTCACTGGCTACAAATTCTGTTCATAGTTTAGGATAGTCTTTTTTTTAAATTTAAAATGTTAGCAGTTTTCATGTCAAATTTTAATAACCATTTTTAATATTATTATTCATGAGACATTTTTGATTTGTTTGTAAACTTTGAATGTTCTTAATCAATTTTCCAAAATCATATACTGTTTTGTTTTATTCCTGGTACCTTATGTATAGGAATTGCTTTTCTTTGTAAAAGTAGAAAGGATTTAGCTTTTCTCAATTTTGTTATTCTTAGGTTTGTTCTCTAAGTTCACTTAGTGAAGGGCTCTTGAGAAAGGAAATAATGTAAAGTTCAAGTTTTATCATATTGTAACAATATTCTTAAACATGTTACTGATGAACTTTCTGATTAATTGGAGACAGAACATATCCATTGTCAACTAAATAAGTAAGGTACCTTTTTTTCTGTTTTAACTGTATGAATGAACTATAAGTGGTTAAAATCGTCTGATGATTCATAACAACTTTATGAATATTTTATATAAATCCAAAACTGTTTTACATGGTTTACCAAAGGGAAGAAATTTGTTTATTTGTTCCTTGTTCTTATCTTTGACAAAAACATTTTTTTTTAGTTTTATGTTTGAAATTCAGACTTGTGTGTCTTATATCTGCTTCTTTTTTTTTTCTCTTTCAAGATTCCAGTTCGTTCAAAGAGTTGGGCTCTGAGAAAAATGTATGCCCCTCCAAAACCTCCTAGTGTTGTTGATAGTTCTTCACATGACCTAAAGTCAAACTTTGATAAAAGACCACAAAGCCTCCGAGTGTCTTCTGGCATAAGTACAGAAAATGTTGGAGAGCCTAAGCAACCAGCAACAATTTCTCAACTGAATGCTCCATCTGAGCATCATTCTTCTTTGATAACTTATCAGACCAATTACAACCAAGTAATTCAAAGACTCTTTCTTATGTCATATTTTCCTAGTGGATTCTGGCCTCGACTGATCTCACGTATACTTGGTGATGATTATATTGTGGATATTGTTCGATCATATTTTTCTTTACCCAAAGACATTAAGATGGATCCCCAGCTTGCCTCTGTATTTAGCAGAAGAGCTGAATGGGTGTGCTGGCAGACAGGCATGGAACTACGCTATATGGATACCACTTTGTTTCGAATGAAAGAGATCCTACCACACTTATCAAGTGTTCCTTATGACTATTCCCAGATGAAATTCATGCTTCAACTTGAAGGAAATTGGACAGATGTAGAGCTAAGCAATTCATCTATTTTGGAAATTCTTCTTCCCAATCAGAAAGTGATTATTCTGCAGAAACAGGAAAGCTACCACAGAGAATTGCTGCTTGAGCCTAGTCAGGAACATGTTGCAAAGATCCTTGCTTTTGCTGTTGACCACATTGATACACTGTTAGAAGACTGGTACCCTACTTTGGGCACTAGGTTTGTCCATACCTCAGAAGGAAGATTTCTTGTGACCAGAGTAATTCCTTGCACTCAATGTCTTGTAGGTCATTCCAAGCAGCAGTTGGACCACAGTGGAGACACTGCCACCTTTTCTGTGCTAGATACTTTCTGTAACAAAGAATCTTGGCAGTTTGTAGACCACTTTTGTAATGTTGCTGGATCCTTGTGTATAGACAGAGCTAGCTCCTTTAATGTCAACAAACGAGGTTCAGAACAGTGCATGCCTTCCCAGTACTCACCAGGGTTGATACGGCATCATGTGGATTCCAGAGGCAGTACAGCTTCTCATGACAGTGGAGTTGGACCAGAGAGTAATAGTTCTAGGTCAGTTTAAAATTATACTTGTGTAACAAGTTTAGTTGTCAGGAAACTATATCTGGTCAAATCTAGGTTAGGTAAGTCATTCAAAAATCCTCTGTTCTCATAACTGGTTTTTAGAAAACCTTATCTTGCTTGATCACAGTCATTGAAGCTATTTGAAATGTTTTTTTTTAAACTGTATTCTTATTTTCCAACTTTCATAGAACATTTGTAGTTGTATTCATAGAACAAAAGTATAGACTCTAGAACCACTTAAATGAATATCAAAAATTCTTTAAGGTAAATGATTATATCTTATTTTTCATTTTTTCTACCATATCACTAATTGTAGCTATTATCGTCAATAGACAGTGCAATGAAATGTTTAAAATTAAGAAATGAAAATATGTACATACCTTTTAACTCTTCATCAGATATTCTTAAAATACCTTCTTTTGGTCATATGCATAATTTCACATCTTTACCTTTTCACTTATAGTTTATTTTTAATATTTTCCTTTCCTGTTCTTTACCATTGATTATTTATGTCATGGGCAATATAACAGTATCATCAACAGAGATACGTAAGCCTCATGGAGCGAGGTGAATTTTGGGTTATACTAAAAAATTATTAAACCATTCAGATATGAATTTTAAAACACAAATAATACATAATTAACTAAAATGTATAAGTAAAACCTTAATACAATTTAACGATCTATCAAATTAATATGTATAAGGTGAGAAAAAAAATATCTAAGTGCTAGTGGATGATGTACCTCCAACAGTGCTGTTGTGGTTTGATGAGCTTGAGAATGAATAATGCATGCCAGTTTTAAGATAACCATTGAGATATTATAGTTTAAAATTAGCTCTTTCTATTGGTTATAATTGGTTATATTGCTGTTGTGGTTTGATGAGCTTGAGAATGAATAATGCATGCCAGTTTTAAGATAACCATTGAGATATTATAGTTTAAAATTAGCTCTTTCTATTGGTTATAAACATGAGCTGAAAAGAATAAGCTATTGTTTTTGAATCCCCTTTTGACTTTCAATGGTGGGTGTAGGTACTATCAGATGGGGAGAAAGATTTATAGCTTCCTCTTTCAAAGTCCCCAAGTGGAATTTGAAACTTATATTGGGTAATTGACTTGTACCCATACTTTTCTGTCTATAGACATTATACATATACTTTAGATGAAAAATAATTGAAATTGAAAAAATGCAAGCTAAGATATTTTTAACTACTAGTGCATCATGTGACAACAAAACTAAACTTTTAATTAGAGGATTCTTTTGAAATAAAGGAATAAAAACTTAGATAATATAATGCTTTGAATTTTAACATACTTGATAATGCTAATTTAATTAAAATACATTGATATAAAGTGATTTAATTAAATTTTAAATATAACTCAGTAACACATGCACGGAAAGAAGTTTAAAGAGTGCAAGGGGTTAAATAAAACATAATTCAACTAGTTTTGGAAAGAGCTCCTTCCATTATCAGGAATGCCAGTATACTAGAATTTCATCGTATTTGTACTCCAAAGAGAGGAAATGAACATAATAACTAATATTCAGAGGGGAAAACAGTTTTTCCAGAATGCTATATTTCTTGAGCCATTGTATCCATTTATAAAAAAAAACCTTATACAACTTTAATGTTTTTCTGACTTAGTGTGGCATTTTTTTTATAATTTTCGCTTTCTTCCATTTTATTTTCTAGTAACATTCCAAAACCATTCAACCAGTGCTGAAGATAAAGATTGACATTTTTATAGCATTTTCATATTCTTTTAGTATTGTTTTTATTTTATATTCTTTTGGCCTGTATAAGTCTTACCACCTGTATAAATAATTTAATATATATACTTTTTTTTTCATCATTTGTTCAATCTTTAAATGATCTTAAATAATTTGCATTTATTTACTTATCATTAGACATTAGTATTAGGCCTAGTATGTTTTTTTTTGTATAAAATCCTCATAATGTTTACTGATACTTTGCAAAATTTTATTAAGATACGCATACATTATCAAACATTATAGTATGACTAATCTCATGGTTACTTTGATTGTTATGCTTTAGGTATTTGGGTATATCCTGTAACCATAAGGTTAACATGTAACTTATTGGAGATATTGTTTAGACACAGTTAGTTACTCCTTCGCGTATACACATAAAAGATAATGTTTAGACATAGCTAAATATTACTTATCATGTACCACTGAGAATATAAAATTTGTTCATAGTTCCTTTCCATTTACACATAAGTGTTGACGTTTAGACATAAATATCTACTCTTTAAAGTGTGTATTTAGATGACAATGTTTATATCTAGTTCATTACTTCTTATGTCACATAAAAGGGATAGTATTTCGGTACTCTTTATTCTTCCTTAACATCTAACACTTTGACGATGATGTATAGACTTAGTTAATTACTTCTTAATCCTTTAGGGGCAACTGCTTTAAACATGCATGGAAATTTTGTAAGCCATACATTGTACACTGAGTGGTCACAAGTAAACAGATACCTCCTTTTTAGAAAAAATGAAATTTTTCAGTCATATTC